CATAAATTATTTCATACTATTATATGTAAAAAGCTGATTGGTGTACATAAAAATAAACAAAAAATTGCAAATTTGCACTCAGAAAAAMGCGAGTAGCTTAATTAATTAAATAATATAGTAAATCAACCTACCAACTATGAAACATAATTATAAGATCATTATCTATGTTTGTAAGGGAGTTTTTAGTACGATAGTTCAATTTTTTAACATGTTTCTGTACATCACATAACATAAATCAAAAATACTCAAAACTCACTTAAAAACTGAAATATTATAAAAACTACCATCTACTATATTGTACTCGCATACAACCACAGATAGAGTTCTTACCATTAAGTTTTATAAAAGTTCGATTCACTAACATTTAAACTAACAAAGCTACACYTGCTCGCCATAAATTTGCTAATTTACACACTTATAAGACGGAAACCACAAATTCCAGTGTTACATACTCATAAGTCCAGAGATAAAAGTTTTAAAAATACCTATGAGCAAACTCTAAAAGTAGATATAATTCCTTTAAGTTTTCACATATTAGTTAAATTCAATAAAAATTAAATTCAAACAATGACCTACCTTTGACCAAGGATGAGATTTGATCTGTGGGAATTTGAATTCTGTATAATTGGGATTCATTTCTCTAATCTGTTCTCTTGTTGGTGTGCCAAGGACTTTTATAATTTCCACTAATTGATCAACACCAGAATCTCCTGGGAAAATTGGCTGACCTAACATAAGTTCTGCTAAGACACATCCAGCACTCCATACATCTAATAAATCAATATTTCATTAAGAGATTAAACAATTCAAAAATTTGGATTTTAAATTTAAAAGTTGTATAATCCTAAATTATTATTTACATGCAAAAACAAATTAATAATAAAAATTGGGTTTAATATTAATATTAAAAAAAGGTGGACAAGCTCTGCTTTATAGTAGTATCAACTATCAAGTATGTAATTGTAATGGTAGTGTTATATTTTAATTCAATGATAAACTATTGCATAGGAAAAACGATTCTGACCAAATTTGAATTACCATCAAAGAAACTTCTGAGGAAATTTGTATTACATTTTCAAGCTTTTTTACTAAGCAAAAAAGTTATTATTAAAAATAATTTGAAAAAAAATTTCAAAACTTGAAAAAATTTTCATGATCATAGCTCAAACACATTAGAAATATTTTAAAAATGTTACCGTATACAAAAATGTTACTATTAATATTTGGTGAAAATCTTTATTATTTTAACTAAAAATGATAAAATTTGGTTGATTTTACATAACAGGATCATTATTCTTGTTATGTATTTATGTGGTCAAAATGATATTGGCRCCAGGTTCCTTATATTATAAAAAACTGTAACAAATAATTAACTTTCAAAAACACTTCACTAAAATATTGGTCTTGGATTATCATATAAAATAAAAAGGAATAAATAAAAAATATATTCCATCTAAGTAATTAATATGAACACAATAGTTTTCATCAACGATGATGAATAAATCAATAAAAATAAATAGATAACATTATGTTAAGAAATATTCTTAAATTAATAATGATAAGTAATATTAGTACAGATTAACATAGTTATTTTATAGTATTGGTGCTAATTTTCATAAAAGTTAAGAACTTTATATTTAAAGAAGTTTAAGAAATTTTGTTTTTATACATCAAAATAAAAATTACCAATTTTTGTAGTGTAATCTATAGCACCGAATATTAGTTCAGGTGCTCGGTAGTATCTTGAACATATGTAAGATACATTAGGTTCACCCTTGATAAGAGTCTTAGCACTGCCAAAATCACACAATTTCAATACTCCTGTTTCAGGGTTTAATAACAAATTTTGAGGCTTAATATCACGATGACATATGCCTAATGAGTGAATATAAGCCAAGCTTCGGAATAATTGGTACATGTACAGCTATAAAGAAATTAATTAATACCATTTATAATTAGCATTATTTTTCATTAATAATTTGATAATATTGTTAAAAAGCAAACCTTAATGTAGTTGATCGGAATTGTTTGCCTTAATTTGCTATAATGACGAGCAACCTTATATACAGTATCTGGTATGTATTCCAAAACTAAATTTAGATAAACTTCATCCTTCTAAAATAATCAAACATTAATTTWAAAAAATAAATAAGTACCTAAATCTAGGAAGTTAAATAATTTTAAATTTACCTTGTCACCACTTGAATAAAAGAAGAATTTCAATTTCACTATGTTACAATGGTCTAGGCGTTTCATTATTTGTAATTCACGATTCTAAAATAAACCATAAAATTCATAGATGTATAAAAAAAATATTAACCTGAAATAAAGATAGACCTAAGATAGACCTTAAACAAAATCTTACTACGGAAATACTTATATGCCAAATATAATAGTGCTTAAGTTAAATGTAAAAACACCATAGTTCATAGAGTGTAAAAATTCCTCAAGGAAATCAAACATTTAAAAAACACAATCAAAAATATATTATCATTTAGATTTAAAATATAAGTAAGGTAACAAATTAGAAGAACTTACTTTAAATCTTTTATCTTGAAGGACTTTTTTAATAGCAACCATTTCTCCTGTATCACATAATTTGGCTTGGTACACAACACCAAAACTTCCATTGCCGATAACCATTGTGTCTGTATACGACACCTCCAAGGGTCGATCTGGTCCCTGGCAGGGATTTGCCACAACTGTAGTGACTTTACTGCCATCTTTACCTAAGATAAATAAAAAGCCACGAAATAAAATTAACATTATTGCAAAATGTTTAAGTGTACCTACCAAAATAAAAAAATAAACAAGACCAAAACAAAAACATTTTAATAAATATTTATATTAAATGTTTCTTTCACCAAGAAATTATAGGAGGTAGATTATCATTAGTTTAATTCCACAGAAATAGATT